CCTCCTGACTCCAGGCCAGGGCTCTATCCACTGTACCACCTAGCTGCCCCTGTCTGAATCATTTTCACCCAGTGCTTTGTAATCAATTAATCAATCAATCAACAGGCATTTATTAAGCAACCATGAGGTGCTAGGTACTGGGAATACACAAGAAAACATTGAAAGAGTTCCTCCCTTCATGTAGTTTACATTCTATCATTCCAGCTACCTGCCTCAAAGCAACCTTCATCTGATGCTTTGGAATCAATGAACAGCACACATTTGTTAAAACCTGTACTGTTTGCCAGGGCCTGTGGGAGGTGCTGAAGGGTACTGATATTCACTTGGACGTGTTCACGGCACGGGTTGGTTCGAGGGTCGGTTCTCCCTCCAACCCGGTCCCCACCAAGGAGATTGGGCAGCACAAGGAGACAGTTCCTGTGGCTCATTTGATTGCTGGCTGTCTAATAAGGCCATCAGTGGCCCATCAGTGCTGCCCCAAGGGATTAGACACTGATGTTCACCATATCCTTATAAGCTTTTGGTCACCTGAGTTATGTTGTTTTCACACAGCAACGGTTCTCTTTGTCATTACCAGCAGGTTTTTATTTCTTTCTCTCTCCTCATAAAAGAAAGCAACATCTGGAATTATTTTTGCCCCATGTCTAATGATGCCCATGCTATCTTTCCCCAGCTTTACCCTTCAGACTTAAGGCTTTGGTCAACCTGTCTCTGCTTCATACAGTTGCCCTTTGTGTAAGAGCTTAGAGGACAGCATGGCAGGCTGAAAAAAGAACCCTTGAGCTAATGGTTTCCTCCTTCCCTCGGAAGCCCTTTCACAAGGCTGTGGAAGCTACTGACTTGTCAGGTTGGTGGTCTCCAAGCACTCTTGGGAACTGCACGGCGAGAGAGGGCCATCAGTGGAAGAGCAAGTGGGGCATCTTTGGGTAGAAGAAACTGGGAGGCTGGAGGAGGGGAAGAGGGAGAAGAACGATCACAAAGTGGAAATGACCCCCGAGGGTGATTTGTTAAAGGAAGGCAGTTATACGTGTCTGCTTGTGTGTGTTCAGCTTATCATGTCTCCTTATGGCAATCAATGAGGATCTACGAAGCCAGGAGGTAGGAAGAGGGATCAGTAGGAGCTGGGGAGGGGCAGAGGTGAAGAGAGAGTGCATTCCAGGCATGGAGGATGGGCTGGTGTGGGAGGAGGGTCTTGGGTCAGTTCAGCCAGAGAGCCACTTTGTCTGTACGGTAGAGCCTGGGAAGGGGGATAATGTATAGGAAGGCTAGAAAGGTGGGCTGGGCCAAGGTTGGAAAGGGGTTAACACCCAGAAGTTGTATTTGATACTCCCGAGGAGCCATTGGAGCTGACTGAGTAGGAGTGTGACAGTCAGGTTGCAATTTAGGAAAATCCCTTTGGCAGCTGATGGGAAGATATATAAAAAGGCAGAGGTCTGAGGTGGCAAGACCAAATACAGCCAGTGTGACATTTATAAAACCGAAGTTGAATCAAACAGCAATTCTCCAGCTTTTTGGTCTCAGGACCCCTGAACTTCAAAATTACTCAGCTGTCCCACAGAGCTTTGGTTTATATGGGTTAGAGCTACAGATATTTACCAAATTAGAAATGAAAAGGTTTCAGTATTATTCTGAAGATAGTTTTGACCTCATGGACTCCCTGAAAAGGTTTTGGGGAACACATTGAGAACTGCTAGGCTAAGTAAACTTTTAAGGTTCTGTTATCTTATGAATCCTCTAACAACCTAGTGAGGTAGGCAGTGCCAGCATTATTATCTCCTTTTTATAGGAAGGAAGGAAGGAAGGAAGGAAGGAAATGAGCATTTATTAAGTACCTACTATCTTCCAGGCACTTTACAAATATCATTTCACCCTGGAAAATGGATGCTATTATTTTTCCCATTTTTCAGTTGGGGAACTAAGGCAAGCAGAGGGTAAAAGACTTGCCCAGGGTCACACAGATAGTAAGTATCTGAGACTGAGAAGATTTGAACTCAAGTATTCCAGGTCCAGCACTCTATCCACTGCTGCACACAGCTGCCTTTCCAGATGGGGAAACTGAGGCCGGGAGGCGAACTAAATGGTCCAAGGTCACCCAGCATTAAATAAGGTTCTTTCCACCACACCTGGCTGCCTCTCACTTGAGCCCAAACTCTCATGTTATTAATGATTACCAGACCCATAGATGAACTCATTCAAATTCTTCTACCCCGATAGAGTGCCTCTTCAGAAAGTTAGGCTTCCAGTGTCTGTAGATAACCTACTGGTAAGGGGGCCCTTCAGATTCATGTCCTGGAATTCCCTTCCCCCTCCACCCTGTGTACTCATTTATCCATTCCAGGTATTCACTCTTCATTCCTGTTGGCTTTTATGAAAGAATGTCAGCCATGTGAAGGAGGCATTCCAAGGCCTGAAACAATCCAGGGCTGGGACTGGAAGGCTGAGTTTCAGAACACTTTTTTTTTTTTCTAAAACAGGAGTTTAGAGCAGAATGGGGAGTGGTGTGACCTTTCAGCATTACACAGTTTTGTCTGGGGTTTCGTCTACCTTTGCAGGTAATTAATTGCCCAGCCTGTTTATTTTTCTAGTTGACTCTTGTTTGGTTTCCACAAAGCCCCACCCCACGGCAGTAGTATTTGTCCCTCGCCTGACTATTCCTACATATGGTCAAAATCAACTTACCTTCCGGGTTGCTGACATGGGCAAATTTACTGTTGGCAGCCACCGGCAGCCTCCCAGTAACCCTTTGTTTGGGGAATGTTATTACAATCCAGTGCATCTGATAGCACACGTACTGTCTGCATCTCCAGCCATCGGAGAAACCACCATTGGCCTATTTGGATTTGGAACCACAACGGGGAAGATTCAGACAAAGAGAGGAGAAGCTTGGGGGCTACCCCCGGCGTCTTGGTTAGAACTGACTGGCCTCAAAAGAAACTTGCCTTGAAGTCAAATCTCCCACTCCTGCTGTTTAGAAAGAATATTCATTTTCACAAAGCCAATTTCTTGATGAAATTAGTTATTGCCTTTAAGTTTCACAAAATTCTTTCGAGAGGATTGGTACAAAGTTTAATATCCTCATTTTACAGATGGGGAAATTGGGACCCTCAGATGGGAAGTGACTTGCCCAAAGTCACATGGATAGCCCATAATAGAGGTAGGCAGTGTGGGATAGAAGGAAAAGCTCCCCATTTAGTGAGAGGGATCTGGGTTCAAGTCTTCTGTTACACTCTCCTTTACGATTTGTTTATTGTCTCTCCCTTCAGAGTATGTGATCTTTGAGGGCAGGGATTATGTTTTTGGCTATCTTGGCATCTCCAGGCTTAGCCCAGTGTCTGAGGAATGGTAATTACTTAACAAACGCTTGTTGACTGATTTGTGTGACTCAACCTGCCTAGGCCTCAGTTTCCCCATTTGTAAAATGAATTGGATCAGGTTATTAGCCAGCCAACGAGGTCCCTTCTAACTCCAGATCTGTAACCCAACGTTTCTGGATTAGCAGGCACACAGCCTTCTTCTCTCATTACAAGCTGTGCGACGTGCAGCAAGTCAGCCACCTTCTCTAGCCTCAGTGTTTGCATCTGCAAAAGTCAGTCTTTTGCTCACTTGCCCATCTTACGGAGCTGTTATACAGGGAAGAATACTTTGTACACTTTAAAGCTGTAGAGAAATGTTCCTTGATTGCTGTAACAGAAAGGGTCCCGGAGTCACAGCCAGGCAATGTAGGTTAGAAACCTGGCTCCTACACTTCTAGTCATGTGATCACCATCCAGCCTCTCTCTTGGTCAGAGCAGGTTTTCCTTATCTGTAAAATGGGGATGAGAACACATTCACTCACTACCCACCTCCCAAACTACTTCACTAGGTTTATTGTGAGGATCTAACCAACTCGGGTAAACAAAGTGCCATCTTATATTTCAAAACTAGTTTATAAAATATTTTCCCAGTTTTACTGTATGATTTAATCCAAGTGGATCTTGGGAGAAAAAGTCCACAGAGAGAGCTCCCTTTTCTTTGTGTTGTGTAGCTTTATGACTCTCTCTGAGCCTCAATTTCCTTATTTATAAAATGGGGATAATACATCATTCAAAAAGGGTTGCACTCAGTGGCCTCCCAGGTGCCTTTAACTCTAGGTGTATGATTCCTTGATCCTCTGGTCATTGAGAAGATCAAAGGAGATACTGTACATAACGCACTTCTCTAACGTTAAAACCCACTACTTAAACGGCAGCTCTATCATCTCTTCATCTCCCAGCAGACAAAATTTGAGTTTGTTTAACCCCCAAAGCTGAGTTTCAATTTCCATCCTAATCATCTGCTTACTTGTTAGGATTCTCCAGCTGATCTTTCCAGGCACTCATATGATTATTGTGTGAAATTAGTCCTTCAACAATATAATAGGAAATAAAAGCTAACTGAGACATTTCAAACATGGAAACCTCTGAGATACTAGCAAACTGATTTCCCACAAGATATCATGGGTGCTTGTTTCAGGGGAAAAAAAATAGAATTATTTTCTCCTCTTGGGTACCAGAATTTGGCCAGTTAGAGGAACTGCTAAGATATTTTTTAAAATGTTGCTTTTAAAAATTATTATAACAAGGTCAGGTGAACTATTTTCCTAACATTACCTTGGGACGCAGCTGGCCTAGCTAAGTAAAAGAGAGCTAGAGCAAGTGTTTGAGCTCTGAGGATTAAGCTGTGGACCAGCGTTCCCTAACTCTGGGCCTCAGTTTCCACATAGAAAATGCAGGCAATATTTACCGCTACCTTCTTAAGAGGGTCCTCTTGAGACAGAGGTCCTGTACATCATAAACTACTATAGAAAACAGCCGTTCCTATTGTTGGGATTTTCTTAAGCCCTTTACCTCTCAGTTTCAGGTAAGAATTGGCTACGTGACTTAATGTAAGACACTCCCCTTCAACCCTTACGATTCCAGAAGTTATTTGATTAGCAGGTTGAATGAAAAAAAAAATTCAAAGGGAAAGGAAGTCACAATCTCTAAAGGGTTAGTGAATGACTTTATTGTGACAACAGCATTGTCATAAATATGCATAAGCAAAGATCACCTTGTTTTTTACCTAGGGATTGTTCGACAAAAAGGAGACACCAGTTGGAGTAAATCCTGTACCTTCCCGGGTCTAGGACCGGTTTGGAGAGGAGCAGCTTTTGTCCAAGAGCCAATCACATTAGGAGCTGTAACTGCACATGGCTTTGGATACAATCCTACACTTCAAGGCTGCATCCTTGAAAGCTCGGAGCTGTCAGTTTCATAAACAATCATGTGGGGATTCTTGGGGAGGGGGAGGGGAGGAATAATAAAGAGAAAACACTTTGGTGGTAGTATACTCATCAGGCACGTGTCTTTCCACAGCAAAGGAGTGGCTGGTTGGCCCCCCACTTCCTCAAAGCAGGTAGCGCTTTTGCAAAGAGGGAAATTTAAGGAAGCCCTCCAGTCCTAAAGCCCAGCTTCTGCCCCACCCCCACCCCTAGGACTACTAAAACTGTACAATGCATAAAAGGTGGGGTGGGGGGGTAGAACAGTTTACCATTTTATTGTATTTTCTTAAATATAATAAATCCTTTCTGGAATTTTCAGAAACAAAAAGCATAAAAAAATTATATACTTTATTACAAAGGGTAAATATACCCAGAGTGTTCCAAATCTCTTATTTACAAACAATGCTTGGTAGGGCCCAAACGGAACAAGACAAAACATAAAATAACTTACAAAGGCATGAAGCTGTTTATTGACATTAATCAGCTTTCATAAAATAAAAAAAATAGATATATACATACACAGTTAACTGAAAGACAGGCAAGTGGAGTCCATGGTATTCTTTGCCCTTCCACCCCCCCCCTTTTTTTCCTCTTAAGAAACCTCCCTCCCGCCCCTCCCCCCCACTTTTTTAAAGAGTACTACAGAAGCAAACTACAGTCTCTATTGAAGTTTTTTTTTTTTTTCTATTTTTTCTTTTTTAAACCTTTTAATACTGAGTGATCATCGAATGTTAGAGGTCCATGCAGTTCTTGGTCAACGTTAAACACGGAGCTGACAGGTTCTGCCCTCCAGGTCCGGCAGGGAGGGGGTGGGGTGGGGCCATCCCTTTCTGCCAAGTGGTACTGTTGGGGGGCTTGGCCGCTCCGGACTAGCTCGAGGCCGAAGGCTTGGCCAGTCCTGCCCCGACATGTGCGTGGAGGGGCGGGGAGGGGGCGGCCCAGGCCGGGGCTCAACACGGGGCAGCTTGATCTATCGTCTCTCCGACACTTTGCTGTGCCTGTCTCTGTCTCTGTCTCTCTTCCAAATGCAACCAACGCGTCGGGCCAACCGAGTCTGTCTCTCGTCTCCCAGGGCCGCTCAGAACGTTTGCAACTGTTGCGTTAGCATGAGCTGGCAGCCGCTGTTCACGTGGTTCATGACTTTCTGCTTCAGCTGGGCCACCTGTTCCCTGAGCATGTTGGCCGTGGACGCGAGCTCCGAGTTCTGGGCTTTCAAAGTTTTCACCTTCTCCTCCAGTCGGGCGATGCGCTCGAGTTTCCTTTTCCGGCACTTGGACGCGGCGATGCGGTTCCTCATTCGCTTCCTCTCGGCCTTGATGCGCTCCTGGGACTCCATGTCGATGGGGGACAGCGGCGGGGTCTCGCCGGGCATCTCGGGCACCGTCTGCGGCTCCTCCTTGAGCGCCTGCAGCCGGGGGTGCTGCACGCCCGGGAGCTGCGGGCCCAGGGGAGGCTGCGGGGTAGCCTGCTGCGCCTGCTGCTGCGGGGCCGTAGGCTGCGGAGGGAAGCCCAGGCTGCTGCCACCGGCCCCGGCCCCCCCGCTGGCACCGCTGTAAGCGGGCGCGCTGCCCAGCGCCGAGCTGGGGGTGAAGTTACTCAAGTTCGCGTAGACCGGGGGCTCGCTGTGCAGGCTGCCGAAGCCCCCGGCGGCGCCGCCGCCGCTGCCAGCTAGGGCGGCCACGGGGGGAGCCACCATGCCCGCGGCCACCGACGCGTTCCCGGGCTGCGCGGCGGCCGCAGAGGGGACGCCCGGGAGAGTGTTCTGGCTGTGCAGCTCGGCCAGGGCGCGCACGAAGCCCTCCGCGAAACCCTCCTGCTCGTCCGTCACGTTTTTCGGGCACAGGAACTGCGTGGGCGTGGGCGTGGTGGTGATGAGCCCGTTGCTGGACTGGATGATGAGGCGCTCGAGCTCCGGGGAGGCGAGCTTGAGCAGCCCCACGTCGGGCGAGGTGAGCAGGTCTGGGTTCTTGTTGCGCAGGTGGGGCTTGAGGCTGCTCACCGGGTCGGCCAAGTTCAGGGTGAGACTCTGCTTGAGCACCTTGGCATGGCTGTAGCCGTAGCCGCCGCTCTCGGGCTGCACGAAGGCGTTGAGGGCATCGTCGTAGAAAGTAGTTTCCATCTTTGTAGTCATAGAACAGAGCAGGTCCCCTCCAAGCTGGCCGAGCGTGGACGTCGGTCTGTGCGTCTGTCCGCCCGCCCGCCCGTCTGCCGCGACTCGCAAAGCGAGCAAGGAGCGGCGGGTTTTAGGAAAGAGACTGCCTGGGGCGAGTTCAGCACCCCGACTCAGCCAGGGGGTCGACAGCCCAGCTGGCCCCCCTCCCGGCTCGGCCACGAGGGGCACTCACTCCGCTGCCTCCTGTCCCGCGCGCGCTCCTCGGCTCCCGTTTGAAAAGTGGCGGCGACGGGGCGTCCGGCGGGATGAGCGTCCGGCAGCGGGGCCAAGCGGGTGACAGCGGCTCTCCCGGGCACGGGCGAGGGAGCCCGGCCGGGGGGTAGAGGACAGCGAGGACGGGAGGTCAGCCGGGGCCCCCCCCCCCCGAAATGCCAGTCCGCGGCGGCGTCGGTCCCCGCCTCCTCCTGGCTGGCAGCGGGCGGAGGGCGGCTGCTGCGCTCCCGAGCGCGGCTCGGGTCAGGGGCCGCAGCGGCAGCCCCTTCCTCACTCTCCTTCGCCTGCCTCCGGCTCGGGGCGCCCGCCCGGCTCCCCCGCTCCGAGAGCGCTCGGCTTCGCCGAAAGTTCACTGCGGGCTCCGAGAACCACTTGTGTCTCCGGGAAAAGTAGTCTGCGGGGCAGCAGCCCCTCGGCCGAGTCGTGTGTGCGCGGCGACGGGAGCCGGGGCACAAGCCTGGGTGCCCCCGAGCTCGAGCTCCTGGGCAGCAGCAAAGAGAAGAGTCTGGTCCTGGCGGGACGGCTCGGGGCTCCCCGCACTGCACCGCACCGCACTGCACTTCACTGCACTGCCCTGCACCGGCGGGAGGGCACGGGCCGGACTGAACGGACGCCGGGGGTTGCCTGCGGTTGCCTGATACCCCTGCCTGTCTGCTGCCTGCCTGCCTGCCTGCCTGTCTCGCTCTCTGCCCGTCCCGCGCCGCTCCGGCTGGGCTCTCTCGGCCACACTCAGTACAACTCTGAGCCCGTCTCCAGCTCGGAGCTCAACACTTATCTGCTACCAGTCACCCCCTAAAAATAGCCCATGATGTCACCCCCGCGCCTTCCCATTGGCCCGCGTCGTCCTCAGGGGGGTGGGCCCGCCCGTCGCCATGGAGACCCCACCCTAGAAGATTCTTCTCTCGGGCCCCGCGGAGGCTCACGGGATGAGGTAATGCTCCGCTGCCCTCCTACAGTCGGGCCCTTCTTTCTCCCCGCGCTCCCCCCTCCCGTCTCCGGCCCGCCCCGGCCCGCCCGGTGCATTGTGGGCTGACGTCTTGGGGTTGGACTGTCTAGTGACGGCGGTCTGGCGGCTGGGGCGGAGGCGGGCTCAAGTTCTAGGTTCGGCGGGGGTGGGGACAGGGAAAGGCGGGAACGCTCCGAGGGTCGGTGGGCCGTTACCGGGCGGGAGGGCGGAGACAAGGGACTATCGATTGTCTTCTAGCGTCCGAAGACACGGGGGCGGGGGGCTTCTCCCAATGCGTTCGGCCTTAAGTTTTCAGGAACTTGCCTTCGTGCCGCCTCCCACCCCGCGTCCGGGGACCATTGGTACCGTCCTTAAGGTGGTTCGGTCCCTAGGGGCGGGGAGCCGGAGGGAGAGCGCGGGGGGGGGGGGGGCGGGGTGTGAGGTATCGCGAGATCTGCTCCCTCTCTCTCGCAGCGAATACAAACAAACTTGGGTCCCGGGGAAGTTGGGGCACGGGAGCGGTTCGGAGTGTCCGCGTGGTGGAGCGGACGGGCGCGCTGGCATCATCACCCGAGCGCTGTGGGGAGGGTGGGGAGAGAGGTCCATTTTGCAAATGAGCAAACCGAGGCAGGGAGGAAGGAGGTGGCGGACCCCGCTCTGGAAGGGACCCCAGGACATCCAGTCCGCGCTCTGCCCCCTTCCCTTTGACCCTAGGAAAACGTCCCGGGACTTGTACCGAATCACACAACTAGAAAGCACCGGAGGAGGAATTTGAACCCAGGGCATTACACGGGAGGGACAGGGCAGGGCAGGCAGTGGCCAGGGTGCTGACCTGCGAGGGAGGAAGACCTGGGGTCGAAGTTTTACCCTGTGACCCAGAGCAACTCACTTAATGGCATATGCTTTTCTTTTATTAAGCGCCTACTATATGCCGGGTTCTGTGCTCAACGCTGGGGAAGAAAGGGCCCAAGATTTTACGACCTTCACCCCTCCCGCTTTAGTTACCCCTTGTGTGTCGTCTCCCACCCCCACCCCCCGCCCCGTTAGAATGTAAGCCCTTTGAGGGCAGTAGGGACTGTCTTTTCCCTGGTATTTGTAGCCCCCATCGGGTAGCACACAGTAAGCGCTTAATAAATGCCTGTTTCCTTAACCTTTCTGAGCCGGTTTCTTAGTCTGTAAAAGGGTGGAGAGGCTGTAGGAGGGAAGAAACTAGATGGCCTTGGAGCCCCCAACTAACTTCAAATCCCTTCTCGGGTTCCTACTAGCCTTGTGACTTTAGGCGAATCATTTCCCAGCCTATAAAACTGGGAATAACAGACAGCGCCTGCCTCCCAGCAGAGTCGTTTTGAGGATCAAATTAGTTAACTTGTAAAGCAAGTTCGCAAACCTTCGAGATCTATAGAAATTATTTTATCAGGAATGATATTAAATAATAATATTAATAGCAACATTGTATCAATTAATGAATGCAATACAAACCCATTAGTAAAGTGAGGGAGAGATATCCTCTGAGATTCCTTCCAGCCCAAAAAGAGATCTGTCTTATTTAACGCTGGGGAGAGTGAGACCGCGACAGAGGGGCAGTGGCTTGTCCCAGGTCACATCGCAGGGTTCCCACCTTGGCTGGTAGATTCTAACGCCAAGGTGGCTTCTACTACCCCGAGAACTCTGACCTTCGAATTCCAAACCCTGACTTGGTACACGTACGACGCCTTACTCAATTCAAGGTCAGCCTTCCTAGCGGCAGTGGTTGCTAAGCTCTGGGAATTCCTTAACGCCCACCCACGTCGGGAGATCGAAACCCATTTAGGACAGCCCGAGGCTGCGAGAGGTCGGCTGTCTTGTAGTTGGAGGGTGGGATTTGAATCCAGGTTTTTTCAGACTGTTAGCCCAGCAGTCTCTGTCTGCTACATTTCTCTCTCTGTCTCTCTCCCTCTCTCTCTCTCTCTCTCTCTCTCTCTCTCTCTCTCTCTCTCTCTCTCTTTCTCTCTCTGTCTCTCTCTCTCTCTGTGTGCAAGCATATATACACGTGTATACATACACATAATGCACATATATGTATGTATATATACATATGTGTGTATATGTGCGTGCATGTTGTGGGGATCAGAGTAGTTACTATGTAAAATCGAGCTGTTAATAATATTAATAGCTAACATTTATATAGCGCTTTGAAGTTTGCAAAGCACAGTTACAAATACCAGGTAATTTGATCCTCCCAACCATACTAGCATCTCTATGAGGAAACTGAGTCAAACCGAAGTTTAAGAGATTTGCCCAGGATCACACAGCTAGTAAGTGTCCAAGGCAAGATTTGAACTTGGGTCTTTTTGACCCTACCTAGATTTTGGGGGAAAAGAAACGGAAAGTGGGTTTCAGAGGAAATAAGATAGGTAGCAGAAACTTAGCATCCAGAACTTGGAAAGCGTCCATCACTGTGAGTAGTAAAGACCCCAGGGCTGGAAGTAGGTACAGAAAAATATAGGGAAAACAGCAGGGTCTTTGGAGTGAGAGGACTTGGTTTTCATTCTTGCCTCCAATGCGAAATACCCTGAGACTTGGGCCAAGTCACTTAATCAGTTAATCAACATATATTCAGTGCCTACTATGTGCCAGGCACTGTGCCAATTGATTGGGATATAAAAGGAGGTGAAAGACAGGACCTGAATTTCTTCAAACTGTCAAACCATGAGATTGAACTCTGCCCTTGGAGGGTCCCTCTAGCTCGGAATCTAGGATCCTTTGATGGGGAAAGTCACTTTCTCTTAGTCTGGGTATCACTTTTCTCATGGGTAAAGGGTGGCAAAAGTCCTTTTTCTGCCTTTTTGTAGAGTTTCTGTAAGAGGATGAATGTGGAAGTATGTTACAATTCTCAGTAACATAGCTAACATGGATATATTGCTTTAAAATTTGCAAAGTCATGCCATGTCAAAAAAAATGATTAAGCTCCTACTATGTGCCAGGCACTGCACTGCCCACTGGCGATATCCACACAGTCCTTGTCCTCACGGAGTTCCCAGTAGAATGGGGGAGACGACATACAGACAACTACAAACAAACAAGCTATAGACAGTATAAACTGGAAATAGTAAGCAGAGGAAAGGCACTATAGCATTAAGGGAAATCAGGAAAGGCTCCTTGCAGAAAGTGGGGATGTTGTCTAGGACTTGAAGGAAGCCAGGAGGCAGAGATGAGGAGGAAGAATACTCCAGCAATTGGGGGGGGGGGTGTGCAGCGAATGTTTTATGTAGCTTATCTCTTTTAATCCTTACAACCATCCCGTTTTGTGGGTCAGAGGTGTCAAAGTGAGGCCAACTGCAGTAGGTGACTCTAAATACTGCCTAATGGAGTTCAAATTAGATTAAAATGTACTGGGGAACTATTTAACAAAATAACTGGAAACACAATGAAACATAGATAATGTTAATTTGTGGTTTTCTAAGTCAATATGCAGCTGGCAGGGATCCTTCTGTAGGGTTTTCTTGTTGTGGCTCAGTAGTGCCTGACTCCTGGAGACCTCAGTTGGGGTTTTCTTGGCAGAGATACTGGAGTGGCTGGCCATTTCCTTCTCCAGCTCATTTTAGAGATGAGGAAACCGAGGCAAACAGGGCTAGGTGACTTGCCCAGGGTCACACAGCTGGTAAGTGTCTGAGGTCGAATTTGAACTCAAGATGAGTCTTACTGCCTCCAGGCCCCGGGGTCTATGCACTATGGTGCCACCTAGCTGCCCCTAATTATCATAAAGAACCTTACTATCATCTCATTTTGCAGATAAGGAGATTGGAAGCCAGAGTTGTCCAAGGACAGACAATGACACTAAGTGAGAAAGCTAGATTTGAACCAGAGACTTCAGTAGTTCAGTCTCAGTTGCTAGGTCCTTCCCCTTTAAGGTTATCTATCTTCTTCTGTCCTTCTGTAAACCCATCATCTCC